TGCAAATAGGCTCTAAAGCGGTTACGCCAGTCCCAAGTTAAATTTATAGAATGTACCTCGACATGGTCTATTGTGGAATGAAGGGGGTGACAACGTTTTCTTTGTTGATATTCTTGGTGGCCGCAACTAGTTTAGCGAGGTCGTCTGCTTCGATATTTTGCGCCCTGGGTATTTGGTCGAGGTGGCATTCATCAAATTCTGGCAGTAGTTTGTGGATTTCTAACTGGTATCATTGCAGCCTATTGTTTTTGATTTGGAAAGTCCCGGTGATCTGATTCAACACGAGTTGGGAGTCACCGTGGAGGACGAGTCGTCGAGCACCATATTTGAGGGCTAACTTCAAACCTGCAATCACAGCTTCATACTCGGCTTCGTTGTTAGTCACCTCGGAGCATCGTATGGACTGGCGAATTACTTCGCCTGTAGGGACCTCAAGTATGAGTCCCAGTCCTGATCCCGAGGCGTTAGAGGCACCATCGATGTAGAGGACCCAGAGGTCGGTATGTGTAGAAGTGTTGAGTGCTTCCTGTTCTACCTCGGGCAATATTTTCGTGCTAAAATTAGCGACGAAGTCTGCGAGCACCTGCAACTTGATGGCAGTTCGCGGTTGGTATGTTATGCCGTGCTCACTTAGTTCTATGGCCCATTTGGCTAGTCTACCCGATAGTTCGGGTTTGTGTAGGATACCCCTTAGAGGGAAGGTTGTCACCACTTTTATGGGGTGACGTTGGAAGTACGGTCTGAGCTTCCGTGAAGCTATGACCAATGCCAAAGCTAGTTTTTCAAGGTGAGGGTACCTCGTATCAGCATCAATTAAACTTTTGCTGATATAGTAAATTGGAGATTGTGTACCTTTATTTTCACGGACCAAGACTGTGCTTACCGCAACTTCGAAAACTGCTAGATATACAAGTAGGCATTCACTTGGGTCTGCTTTAACGAGTAGTGGTGGTGAGGATAGATACGTTTTTAGATTTCTCAGGGCGTCGATGCATTCCTAGTTCCATTGCAGCCCGTGGTCTTTCCTTAGTACATTAAAGAATTTATGGCATCTATCCGAGGATCGTGAAATGAACCTTGATAGGGCGGCTATTCGTCCTGTCAGATTCTGCACCTGCCTTTTGCTAGTTAGTATTTCCGGTATTGCGTCGATGGCCTTGATTTGATCCGGGTTGACCTCGATTCCCCTTTGTGACACTAGGAAATCAAGGAACTTTCCAGAAGTCATGTCGAAGGCGCACTTTTTGGGATTCAGTTTCATTCTGTACTGCCTTATTATTTTGAAGGCTTCCTTCAGGTGACCAATGTGATCTTCTTTCTTTGCCGACTTCACTAGCATGTCATCGATGTAAACCTCCATTATCTTACCGAGTTTCTATTTGAACATTTTGGTGACTAACCTTTGGTGCGTGGCCCCTGCATTTTTATGCCTGAATGGCATCACCTTATAGCAGTACGTACCTCGGTGAGTGATGAAAATGGTCTTTTCTTGATCTTCTTCAGCCATAAGAATTTGGTTATAACTGGAGTACGTGTCCAAGAAGCTCAGCAGTTCGTTTCCCTCTGTTGCATCGACAAGTTGGTCGATGTGGGCTAACGAGAAAGAGTCCTTCGGGCATGCTTTGTTTAAAACAGTAAAGTCGACACACATTCGCCACTTCCCATTTTTCTTTTTGATCATGACCACATTGGCGACCCATTGGGGGTATTTCGATTCTCTGATGGAACCGTTGGTGAGTAATTTATCAACTTCCTCACTGACTGCCTCATTGATTGTGGCATTGAACTTCCTCCTTATTTGTCGTACCGGCGGATAGAGTGGGTCAACATTCAGCTTATGCGTGGCGATCTCCCTTGGGATTCCTGGCATATCTGAGTGGGAAAAAGCAAACAAATCGGTGTTGTTAGTTAAAAACTCACGATACTCACCTGGCTCTGAGAGGTTATGCCCAACATAAGCCTTTTTGGTGCAGTCGATGTTATCTAGCTGGACGGGGTCAAGATCTTCCACAGTTGCCTTGCAAGCTTCTACAAGGTCCGGATCTTTAATGCCCTCTACTTGTATGTCAGGTTTGGTACCCGACATGGCTGACTGCTATGCTTCCGCACTTGCCCCTTTTAGCTGTCTTGTGTATGTACAATCTTGGGCAATCCGGTAGCATTCTTGGGCGGTACGTGGCTCGCCTAGGATACTGAATATCCCCCATGAGGTAGGAAATTTGATCACTTAATAGAAGCTTGAGGAGACGCCTTGCATGGCGTGTATCCATAGTTGTCCTATGATGGCGTTGTAGGTCGTTTCCTGGTTCATGACATGGAATGTTATTTCCAGGGTGACCCCTCCTTCCAGGACAGGTAGCACGATTTATCCAGATGTTCACTCTACTGCATTATTAAAACCCATTAGTGTTATGCAACGCCGTATTATTTTATCCTCGAGCCTCATTTGCATGAGAACTTGTGGGTGAACAATACACGCACCGCTTCCACCATCCACCATGATTCTTTTTACATCAGTATCAGCGATGCGTAAAGTTATAACCAAAGCATCATAGTGAGGGAAAGACAAACTGTCGGTATCTAACTTATCGAAGATGATACTACCTTCAAGGTCATCATACTGTTCGTGGGCGACTGTCCGTTTGAGTTTGTGCGTGGTGGTGAACTTCACATGGTTTATTACCGTGTCATCGCTGCTGCCAATGATAATTTGTATGGTACGTGCTGGTGATGGTGGCTTTGGAGGCCCTTGATATGGGTCACGCCCTTGAGCGAAGTTGGCCCTTCCTTTATCGCTTAGCTGTTCTTTCAGGTACCCCTGGTTCAACATCCTAACTACTTCTTGCCGCAGACCTATGCAATCTTCGGTCTTGTGTCCTCTTTCTTGGTGGAATGCACAGAGGACGTTAGACCTCCTAGTGCTTGGATCTGATTTCATCTTTTGTGGCCACTGCACTTTCATGCCCAACTTCTCCAGTACGTACACTATCTCTGAAGGGGAAACACAAAAATTATGAGCATATAGTAGTGGAGGGATACCTCTTTCATTGTGGAGGGGTGCAGCATGTTGTGGCGCGGTGTCTGCATGCCGTGGAGGGGGCGGGTTGGATGTTCGAATATATGGCTGATGCCTTTCACGATTGAAATGTGGTGGTTGATCTCTTCACCCGTCGCTACGTCGATCTCTCCTTGTCTTAGTCTGGATTGATGTTAATCATTGAAGTGGGCCATTCAGGTTGTCCTCGGCTGCCCTCACCTCGGCGCAATAGGCATTGTGGATCTCTTCCCATGTGGTAGGGGTATTTCATGAGTCTACTGAGCAGTTTTTTGGTTGCCTTTGACCCGTTCCTGTTTAACCCATTTTGAAACGTTGCTACTGCCATCCCTTTTGACACGTTCGGTAGACTCCTCCTTACTTTGTTGAATCGGTCTAGGAAATCCTGGAGTACCTAGCCCGTCGTTTGCCTGCCGGTGAAGATATCATTGACCCTAGACTCAGCCTTCTTCGCTCATACATGAGCGGTGGCGAATTTATACGCCATCTCTTCAAACGTTGATATTGATCACGCTGGTAGCTAGGAGTACCATGTCAATGCTACCCCTGTCAAGGTCTCACCGAACTTCTTTAGAAGCACAGACGGTACATGTTCTTTTTATAGATCATTGCCCTTTACTGCAGTAATATAGTGGATTAAGTGATCCTCTGGGTCCGTGGTCCCGTCATATATTTTCAAGTATGGTGGCATTTTGAAGGTCTTTGGAATAGTGTGTGGAGCAGCCCCTTCGTTGTAAGGTTGTTCGACGAATCGGCCCACATCGTATTTTTGTAACAGCTTCGGAGCGCCTGGTATTTTGTCGACCCTCTCCTGATGTTCCTTCATCTGGTCGTGTAGTGTTTTGTTCTCGTTTTCCATCTCTTCCATTTTCTTTAGGATGGCCATAAGTGCATCGTCACCTGCATTAGTAGCAGTGTGTGTGTGTCACCTGCTCATGTAGCGTTTGGCTCATCGGCGGTAGCTGCAATTTCTGTATGTGGTATGTCTTCGACATCTCCTTGTGTAGGTTTCTCGAGCATGTTGCTCAAAGCACTTGTTAACCATTCTTCTAGCAGCTTTTTGACTATTGGTGGTGCTTCCCCCACCATGGATGTTGAGGCCCCCCTTTCGCGCAAGATCGTTAGATCCCCGCGTGGAAGAGGTGAGATCTCCCCCTCCGGTGTAGCTCTTGGTGTTGTATTCTCATTGTCTTCTCTACCGGCTTCGTTGAGGGAGTTCAGGAGATTATTCGAGACATCTGCTACTGCCTTCAGCCTCGCTTCCTTTCCTGCCATTGTTGGTTTTTATGAGGTTTGAAGAAAAGTAATTATCACTTTTGGGAATCTAGATGAGAACTATGATTTCAGCTATAGAAATCCCCACAGACGGCGCCAAATTGTTTGATCAAAAGATGTTAAGACCTTTTTGAACAAATCAATCGAAGATGAAGGGGTAAATCGTAGTTGAAGATAATAATCTCTAGAATAATAATAGGTAAAAAGAAGAGAGTTGCAAAGTTTTTTTTCATTCAAGATTGGTAAGTTTCCCTTGAGTCTCCCCCTTACAAGGTATTTTTTCCCCCTTATATACTAGAGAAAAACCCTTCGGAATTGTAAGCAACCAAATACAGGGAATATTCGGGGGAATATTTTTAATGGCCCCTAATGGGATTACACTACTACAGGGGTCATGCAGTTTCTTCTTTCGCCCTAAGATCGTCTCCCTTGGGACACCGATTCGAAGGTACTTGATTGTTTGTTGTGCTCGTCATAGGTCGAGGTCGGTCAAATTTGGACCCATACAATGCTCATGTTACTAGGTATGCTCTTATAGCTTCTTCTGCCTCTTTGTTTTGAGTCACACACACACACGCATATATATATATATATATACCCCACCCCCCAACAATAACTACATATCAAATTTTAATAAAAACATCGCGCACTGCAGGAATTTCTTTTGCAGGAATGTAGGAATCAACATATATACTGCTACCACATGGAGAATTATATTCAATCTTACCAGTGTTGACACTGCCTCAAATTACACTCTCCAACTTGCTCTTGCTGTAGCTCATGAAGCTGAACTACAAGTATGTACCTTACCCTTGATTAATTAGTTTCTTTTAGTTTCTCGCTGGTGACCAGTACCCACAATGAGATCTTGACTAATTCGGATTCGCGCCGCATAAGGCTCATTAAAGGAATTTTTGAGATTTTTGAAAGAAATATATTGCGTCTCCAACTAGACTAACAAGCCAAAGTTTATTCGAGATGACTTACATGATTTTTTTTTTGGTTTATTTTTTTCCTCAAGGTTCGTATCAATGATGGAAAAGCGCAAGAACCCCATTTTACAATAGGATTTATAGGGGGAGATAATGCAATTGCAAGACATGGTATACATGGATTATATTGGCTTTACAACATCGGAATACAAGGCAATTTGCTTACTAAAGGAGCAAACACAATTTTTCTTACACAGACAATAGCTCTCACTCCCTATCAAGGGGTCATGTATGATTATCTTCGTTTAGAAGGACCTCATCAGTGATAGAATGGTCATTTTAATTTGTTCCTTCATTTTCTAGGTTTCCTTTTATATTTGTTTTTATATACAATGTTTTTAAAACCCAAAAAAAAGATGACAACTTTTATGATGCTAGAAACGAAAAGAAAAAAGTGAAATCCATTCTTTTTTAATCAATTTACCCGGAAAAAAGATCAAGTTGGCATATTGGATTTAGTACTTAGAATACTAATATTGCAAATAAAATTATTAACTAACATCTAATATACAACAACTACGATATTAATTCAACTCCTTATGTACAGTAATCATGTTGAATTGCAGCTAATGATAGAGTAAAAACAACAATTGAGAAGATAGAGAGAAGAAGAAATGAGAATGTATTTCGTCTGAGACATAAGAAGCAGAATACAATGGTCGCATTGTGCACATATACACTAACTAACTGAGAGCTCATCTACAGCTGTCAACTAACCAATTTAACCACTTTAACCTCCTTTTTAACTAACTCAAATTCACCCTAGAGTTCTAACATGTACAGTTTTATCCTCTATACCCCAAGACTCCCCCTCAAGCTGGAGGTGGAAAAGCATTGAACACCCCTAGCTTGGAGAGAAGGAAAGAATTCTGAGAGACCCCAAGGCCCTTTGTCATAAGGTCAGCTAGCTGAAGCTTTGTCGAAATATAATGAGGTGCAAGTAATCCATTTTTGATTTTTTTTCCGGACAAAGTGACAATCTATCTCGATGTGCTTTGTCCTTTCATGAAAAAAGGAATTTGCTGCAATTTGAAGATCAGCTTTACTGTCATTGTGAAGATTAACTGTTGATATACTGCAATGTTCAACTCCTTCAACAATCCAACTAACCAAGTAATTTTAGTTGCAACTGCTTCAAGGCTTCTGTATTCAACTTCTGAACTTCGACTCACTGCCTACTGCTTCTTTGACTTCCAAGACAATAAAGAGTCCCCCAGTTTGATAACTTACCCAGTGATAGACTTCCTTGTATTGGGGCATGCTGCCCAGTCAGAATCACAAAAGGCAGAAAGCTGAGAGATACGACCCTTCTTGAGGAAGATACCAAGACCAGGAGAACCTTTAATATACATGACCACCCTAAGTGTAGCATCTAAGTGAGATTTCTTAGGATGTTGCATAAACTGACTTAACACTTGCACTTCAAAGTAAATGCCAGGTCGTGTGATAGTAAGATAGAGTAGTTTTCCTACTAGTCTTTGATAACTTGCCACATCCTGTAGCTCCTCATCTCCATTGTGTCCTACATGTTTGTCATATTCTATCATAGTTGGTTTCTGATTAAGCTCCATAGGGGTAGAGACAACTTTGGCGGCAACTAGTCCTGTGGTTGAGATCAACTCTAGTATATACTTTCTCTAGTTCAATAGCATCCCGTTATCTGATCTCATTACTTTTATACCTAAGAAGTATCTGAGTTCACCCAAATCTTTGACTTTGAACTTGTTGTGTAGTGCATTGTCATGCGCCGAACCTGGGCATGGACATAACATGGCACCCAGTGCCTAACTACATGTGACCGAGTGAGCTAATTGGTTGGCTGAATCAACATGTTATATCATAACATACTGAATACGGAAGATAAACTTACACATGTTGATATACTAAAAGTCTAAATGATATAAATTAAAGTGTGGAAATACTAATACAATTCTGAAACATATTTGTAGCCAACATAGCTTAACATGAAAAGCCTGCGACTCTGTATAACTATTACTCTAGTCTATGAAGCCTCTAATGAAGCACTAAAAACACTAACTATCTGTAAATACTGAAAGACTGTAAAGTAATGATAATGCCTTGAAAGAACTGGGGCTCACCAAATAGCTGGTACGAGAATCCTAGAGCTTTGAATCGTCAACATGTAAATCGTTACCTGCATCATGAGATGCAGGCCCCGGGCAAAAGGGATGTCAGTACATTTGAATTGCGCTGGTATGTAAACAAACTGAAAGAAAGAAATATAAATGCTAAAACTGATACTGAGCTGATAACTGAGAATTGATAAATGATAAATGATAACTAATAAATGAACTAAACAAAGGAATTAAGGATATGAATACTCCCTCTTCTGAATGATGAACAACCTATTTATCTGAATAAACTACGGCCTCGGGCCCAATATATATGTTCACATGTTACGGCCTCAGGCCCAAGTATATATATACATAAATACAGCCTCATGCCCAAAAATGTATAAAGCATAAACTACAGAATCAGGCCCAAATATGCATAAAGCATAAAATACAGGCTCAGGACCAAACATGCATAAAGCATATAAACTACGGCCTCAGGCCCAAATACAGGTATTCAACATTCGGTGATTTAAATTCAGGAACTGAGAATCATACTGCAATATGTGATGCTGAATACTGAATCATATTGAGTTACATGATACTGGAATATTGAATAGGACTAGACCGAGACATGTATTCTTGAACTGATTATGAAAATTGAAATTTCAAATTTTTATTACATGCTGAGTAATCTAGACTGAGACTCTTGGGAATCAAACCCATGTCTATATTGATTATGCACTGAGCTCACAACGTTCAGAATGAAAATCATGAACGAGTTATGAAGCTAGATAATAAAAGTTCTGCAATTATTCAAAGAACTAGGCTTAACTAAATTTCTGAGGGAAGTAGTAACGTCGTAAAAAAAACGTAGTGTAGGGAGAATCATTAACATTCTCAAACATAGAGAGTTAGCCTCACATACCTTAACTTCCTGCTCTTGCGCGGAATACAACATTCACCAACCCTTTCAACTTTAATATTAGGGATTTTATTTTAACAATAATACTTATGATTTAGTAATTTAGATGTTTCATCAAACATTTTATGGGCGTAAAGCCTCATAAAACTCATTAATGATGTTGCTACACCCAACAACCCATTATCTTGCTCCAAGATAAATTCTAAAATCTCAAATTTCTTATAATCAGTCCAAATTTACGGAATATTATATTATCTCCCCCTTGAGATCATTCACCCTCGAATGATTGTCATGACTGTAACTACGGCTAACTCTAGGCGTTAAACGGGTTTGGTGGAAACATGTACTTTCATGAACACTTGCATACTAAACTGAATGAATACATGATTACTGAACTGCTGAGATATACTGAATTGAACTACTACATTGACTGAATACTGAGCTGACTGAATAGTGAAGGATGTGGAGATTATAATATAATGTCTGAATGAAAAGTTTAGTTACCTTCAACATTTTTTCAAAACACCCGCCAACTATCATAGCATAACACAAGCCTCACATGGCATCATAATGCACATAACATGAAAATATTTGTGAATATTAGTTTGTCATGGATACATGAATACTGAACTAACATGGATATATGAATATTGAATTGGCATAAATATTTGAGTACTGAACTGACATCAATATTTGAGTACTAAGCTAGCATAAATATTTGAGTACTGGACTGACATGAGTATCTGAGTATTGAACTAACATGAACATCTGAGTACTGAAAACTTGAATGTTATAACATGGAACATGAAGTATTGGGTGTACAACCACTAATTCTGGTGGCAACTCCATCTCATAAGCTATTTGTTAGATCTTTCGTAGGATCCTATACGGCCTGAAGTATCTAGGACTGGGCCTTCCTTACTTCCCAAATGTTATAACACCTTTTATAGGCAAAACTTTCAGAAACACCCAATCATCAACTTGAAATTCTAGGTCTTTATGCCGCACGTCAAAATAGGACTTTTAGAGGCTCTAAGCCGTCTTCAAATGCTCTTGAATCAACCTGACTTTCTCCAAAGTCTGATAGACCAAATTTGGTCCCAACAACTCTGCTTCACCAACTTTGAACCAACCAATTGGCGATCAACACTTTCACTCATACAGAGTCTCACACGGTGCTATATTGATACTAGAATGATCGGTGTTATTATTAGAAAACTCAATGAGAGGTATGTGATCATCCTAATTACCTTTAAAATCAAGGATATGTCCTCAAGTGTCTAAATAATGCCCTCTGCCTGGCCATCTTTCTGAGGATGGAAAGTGTGTGCCTAATCCTTTCTTAAAGGACTTCTAAAAGTTCATTTTAAACTAAGCACCACGGTCCAAAATGACGGAAAACGGATTCCCATGCAATCGCATGATTTCCTGAATGTACAACTTGGCATAATCTTTTGTTGAATATTGGTCTTTACTAGCAAGAAATGCGCTTACTTGGTAAGTCAATTTACAATCACCTAATCAAATCATGCTTTCAAAGTGAGCAAGATAATCCTATTGTAAAGTCTATATTTTACCATCTCCACTCCAGAATATTTGTATTTTGTGGTAATACACTAGGCTTTCTGCTGATCGACTTTCACCTTTCTGATAATTCGGACACTTGGCCACAAAGTCTGCGACGCTCTTTTTCATGAAGTTCCACTAATAAATCTCCTTAACACCATGATACATCTTTGTGGAACCTGAATAAATAGAATACCTGAAATTCTAGGCTTCAAACATAATCCGCTCTCTGAGCCCATCTATGTTTGGAATACACAGTCCATCTTGGTACCTCAAAGTACCATCATGTCCCCCTCGTACAAAAGCCGTTATCTTATAATTGTGAATCATATCTTTCACCTGCAACAAGTAGGGATCATCAAACTATTTCTCCTTCACTTCGGCTACTAAGGAGGAACAAGTCTTGTTCTGCACAACAACTCAACCATCTTTGGTGTCCGAAAGTCAAAATCCTAGTTTGGCTAAGTGTTGAACTTCTTTCACCATAGTTCTCTTGTCTGCCTCAATCATGACCTATACTTCCCATACTTGATTAGCTTTTTAAGGTACTTCTTGAAAATACCTATAGCATTGTAATGAGCTAAGTCTTTGACCATTACTCCGAAGATTAGAGTCTCATGCAATGGCACTACCCTTATGATACATAACTGGGCATGTGTAACGACCCGACCGGTTGTTTTGAGATTTTACACTTGGCTCACCAGTTCTCGGGAATGACTTGCCTCGTGTGATATATTATGACTTATGTAAATTGTTGGTTTTGATTTTTAGGGTAATCGGAATGAATTTGGGAGAACAGTTTTCAGTTTAAAGCTTAAAATTTGAAAGGTTTGACCAAGATTTAACTTGTTTGTATATGATCTCGGATCGGAATTTTTATGATTTGGTTAGCTTTGCTAGGTGATTTGGGACTTAGAAGCATGATAGGAATGCATTTTGGAAGTTCGTGGAAGGTTTAGGCTTGAATTGGCGAAAATGAGGTTTCAGTGTTTTCCGGTCGATAAGCGAGATTTTTATATAGAGGTCGGAATGAAATTCTAGAAGTTGCAATAGTTCTGTTGTGTCATTTGGGATGTGTGTGTAAATTTTCAGGTCATTTGTATGTGGTTTGGTTGGGTTTTTGATCAAAAGCGTATTTCGGAAGATTTTAGAAAGTTAGACTTGAATCTGATGTGGTTTGGTAGATTTGATGTCATCTGAGGTGTTTTGATGATTGGAAAAAGTTTGAATAAGGTATTGGGTCACGCTTGTGCTTTTGATTGAGGTCCCGGGGGCCTCGTGGTGAATTCGGATGGTTAACGGAGAAATTAGAATTGTGTTGCAGCAGCTGATGTTGCTGCTTCTGGTATTTTCGTACCTACGGTTTGGGGACCGCAGGTGTGGCGCTGCATAAGCAGATAGTTGGCCGTAGAAGTGAAAAGTTGGTCAGGTGTGCAGATACCGTAGAAGCGGTCAAGTGGCTACATCTGCAAAGCCGCAGATGCGGAAGTTCTATCGCAGATGCGATTTTGGGGTTTAAGTGAAGGACCGCAGAAGCGGTGGTTGGGCCGCATATGCGGTACCGCAGATGCAGAAAGGCCTGGGCAGAGCATATAAGTTATTTCATTTCGTGAGTTTGACTTATTCCACCATTTTTTTACTTCGGCTTAAGAGCTTTTGGACGATTTGGAGGAGGGATTTCAAGGGAGCTTCGTTAAGGTAAGGATTTTGGACATAAAACACATTTCTATGGTAGTATTTCATGGATTAAGACTGAAATTAAAGGAATTAAAGGGCTAAAAAGGAGGATTAGGGCTTGAGTTTAATAGGCCTTAAATTGAGGATTTGAGGGGTCATTTGAACTCTGATTTTGGTATTTTTGATATGTATGAACTCATGGGGAAATAAGAAATCTAATGGTGTGAAAATTTCTGCGTTTCGAGAAGTGGGCTCGGGGCTTAGGTTTTGCTAATTTCGGGATTTGTGCCTTTTATTGATTGTTTTCGCTTGGGCTTTGTTCCCTTAGCAT